ACCATGCGGGAGGAGTTGGTGGGGCTCCTCATGAGGGCGCCGAGGGGTTGATGAGTGAGGACCTGAACCGGGTGAGCCTGAAAGTAGTGGCCCAACTTCTTGACGGTCCAAACGATGGCTAACACCGTTTTCTCCACAGGAGAGTACCTGAGCTCGGCCTCCCTTAGGGTTTTGCTTACATAGAAGATGGCATGTTGGATGCCGTCTTCCTCCCGGATGAGAACGGAGCTGATGGCTGCCGGGCTGACCCCAAGGTAGAGATAGAGGGTCTCCCCTACCTTCGGTTTGGAGAGCACAGGGGGTGAAGATAGATACCGTTTGAGCTCGTCGAAAGCCCCCTGGCATTCTGGAGTCCATAGAAAGCCAGCCGTCTTCCTCATGATCTGGAAGAAGGGTAGGGACTTCTCCGCCGATTTAGATAGAAAGCGGTTGATGGCTGCCAGGCGGCCCGTCAACCGTTGAACTTCCTTCACATTGCGTGGAGGCTTCATGTTGATGATGGCCTGGATTTTCTCGGGATTGGCCTCAATACCCCTGCGGCTCACCATGTAGCCTAAGAATTTTCCCCCTTGGACGCCGAAGGTGCACTTCTTCGGGTTTAGCCGAAGGTTGAACTTTTGCATGACGGCGAAGATTTCCCGGAGGTCGTCGGCATGGCTGGAGGATTGCTTGCTTTTAACGATCATGTCGTCGACATAGGCCTCCATGGTGCGCCCTAGGACGACTTGAAAGACTCGGGCCACCATCCGGGTGTAAGTGGCCCCTGAGTTCTTTAGGCCGAAGGCCATCACTAGGTAGCAGAAGATGCCCTCGGGAGTTATGAAGACTGTCTTTTCGGCGTCTTCCTCATGCATGAAGATCTGATGATACCCGCAGAATGCGTCGAGTACGACATGATTTCACATCCCGCGGTCTCATCCACAAGTTGATCGATATTGGGCAAAGGAAAAGGGTCCATAGGGCACGCCTTGTTGAGATTCGTGTAGTCCACGCACATGCGGAAGGTAGGAGGCTTCTGTGCGAGGACCACGTTTGCCAGCCATGAGGGGTATTTCACCTCCTTGATGTGCTTAATAGAGAGGAGCATGGCGACCTCCTTCTTCACAAATTCCATCCTTTCGGCGGAGAGGGGTCTTCTTCGTTGTTGTACTTCTTTTGCCGAGGGGTCCACCGAGAGGCGGTGGGTGATGACCCTTCGGCTGATCCCCGGCATGTCCTCCGGCCCCCATGCAAAGACAGTGGAGTAGGCGCGGAGGGCGTCGGTGATACCGGTCTTCAGATCTTCAGGGAGCTGGGCTCCAATCTTCACGACTCTCTCCGGCTGGGCCGGATCGAGCGCAAAGTCTTCTACGTCCTCGGCTGGTTCAGCCCTCAGCCTCTTTTCTTCTTGGTCGATGGTTCCGGTGATGGTGTCAACACGGAATTCCGTCTTACTCACCTTCTTAGTGACTTGAAGATAGCAGGCGCGGGCGATTTTCTGATTCCCCCGGGAGTAGCCAATGCCCCCCTCGGCGGGAAACTTGAGGCAGAGGTGCCTCATGGAGATGATGGCCTCGAGGTCCTCGAGGGCTGGCCGGCCGAGGATGATGTTGTGGGCGCAGTCGATGTTGACGACGACGAACTCCACTTCGAGCTGGGCTCTATGGAGCCCGTCGCCGAAGATCACCGGGAGGGTTATTACCCCCTCGGAGTCAATAGTATCGCCGGTGAAGCCGGCAAGAGGGGTCTTAATGGGCCGAAGGGACCCCCTCTCCAGATGCAGTTCTCTGAAGGTGCTGAGGTACATTACATTGACGGAGCTGCCTGTGTCAATGTAAGTTCGGTGAATGATGGTGTCGTTTATTTCAGTCTGAATCACCAAGGCATCCCTGTGAGGAGAAGAAGTAGGAGGGAGATCTGCGTTGGTGAAGGTGATGGGTTCCTCCCTCAGTCGCTTTACCGGGGGCATATGAGTGACTTCCCCCACGTAAAGCGATTGAGCCCACTTCTTCCGCTGGCTGGTGGAATCGCCCCCTGTATTGCCGCTGGTGATCATGAGGATGTGGCGTTTTTTCTCCTGGTAGTGGGGGTACTCCTCCTCTTCCTCCTCCAAGTTTCCGATCTCCCTCTTCTTGCCGAGGGGAATGGTGTTCGGGTTCACCCAAGCGTTCACCTTCGTGTGGTGCCCTCGGGGAGGTCCCTGGTGAGAAGGTCCCTCCTGCCGAGGGCTCTGAACAAATTGGGACAGGTGCCCCGCTTGTATCAATCTCTCGATGGCCGTTTTTAACTGGTGGCAATCGTCGGTTCTGTGCCCCTGATGCCGATGGAAACGACAGTAGGGAAACTGAGGGTTGATAGCATGTACCTCCGGGGGGTGCGCGAGAGTCGCGCTCAACGAGACCCCTCTCCTCGGCAAAATCAAGGACGATGCTGACGGGGTGCGTCAATGGTGTCCGGGGGCGGTCCAGGAGAATGGGCTGTGCCCAAGTCTTAGGGTTGCTCTTATAACCTCCCCCGGGCTTGGCCTTGCCGAGGGCGATCATCGGAGGGTCCTGAAGACTTGGGGTGATTTGGAGGAGCCCCTGGCCCTCAGTTGTTCTTGTTGTCAGCCCTCGGGGGCTGCTGATCCGGATGCTGGTGGTATTTCTCCACCTCCTCGGCCTCAGCATATCGGTCCCCCCGCTGCAAAGCCTTATGTAGTCGCGGGGGGGGGGGGGGGGGGTCAATGATGAGGCTCCTTGAAAAGTTGCCGGTGCGGAGGACGGTCTGTAGGAGGGCCAGGAGGGTCCTGTCATCAGCACCGTCGACTTGGTCGGCCTCCGTTCTCCAGCGCTCCAGGAAGTCCCGAAGGGTCTCATCCCTCTTCTGGCGTATGGTTAGGAGGTGGGAGAAGTGCTTCCTCGTACGACGCCTCCCGGCAAATTGTGTCAAGAATCGCTGGGCGAGTTCTTGCCACGAATCAATGCAGCCCTCGGGCAACCGGTTGAACCATTCGTATGCCGGCCCCTCTAAGGTGGAGAGGAACCAACGACACAAATATTTGTCCGACGCCCCTACCATCATCATGCTGTTCTGATATTTGCTGTAGTGTTCTTGGGGGTCCGTCTTCCCGTTGTAGGGCTGTATGTGTTGCCCTCGGTATTTTTCCGGGATCCGGGCCGCCAGTACCCTTGGGGTAAATGGCGTCCGGGTCCGGAGCTGGATGACGGGTTCCCCGGAGCCCTCGGCCACCTTCTTCTGTAATTCCTCCATTTTGGCCATCATGGCCTCGTATTTGAAATCTGAATGAGGGGTGGAGGTGGTGGCGTGAGCTTTGTTGGCCTCCATTTCATCAAGCCGGCGTTGGATGGGGCCGCAATAATTTCGTCCTGGGGATCCTTCGGGAGGGTCTCCGCCCCCTACGAACGAACCCGGGCCGAGTGGGCCTGATTGATTTGGTGGCGAGCATCATCGGCATGAAGGGGTGCCTTGCCTTTGTCCCGAGGGGGACGCTCCTCGTCTGCCCTCGAGACAGACCCTCCGCTTTCCTGGGGCCTTTGGAGTGCTTTCCCTCCGAGGCGGTCTTGGACCCCTCGGCGGTCTGGCCCTCCTCCGAGCCGGTTGAGGGCGGAAGTGCGGGGCCTTTCTCTGTTGTCATTGTGGCGGTCCCGGGACTGAACTTCCTGGGAGGCCGTATCTTGGGCCACTACCCCTTCGTCATTCCTTACCCGAGGGATGGGGTTTCCGAAAGGGTGTGGCAGAGGGGGAAGTACGATGTTCTCCCCGACCTGGGGTTGAGCCGGAGCCAGGGTGCCGAAGGCACCTGGGTTCTGAGTGAGCGTCTGGATGAAGGCGGAGAGCGCCGATTGAATGTCGATGGTGAGAACCGGAGGACTGACTTGGTCGTCGCTCCGGTTTTTCTTTTTGGCCTCGATGCCGAGGCGGGCATCGGGGGCATTCTGTTGGATCTGAAGGCGAAGGTCGACAGCCGCCTGTTCCAGCCCAGCGATGACACCGCCCTCGGGAGCCTGTGAGAGGCTTCGGGGGCGTTGACGTCGCCGAGGGCCAGGTTCTTGTGTTCTACGTTTTTGGAGTTGGCACGTGTTGTTCTCACCATTTTGGTAGAGGGCTAGTGTTTGGCGAAGGGGGAGGGTTTCTTACTCGATTGTTCGAGCTCTCAATGAAAGCACCAAATGATGGATAGTCTACCCGGGGGGTATATATCCGAGGGGTTATCGCTGGGAATAACTTAGAGAGAAGTCAGAGCATAAGTAAGTAAGAGAGAGAGTGTATTCAGTATGAATGTCGTGGTTTACAACGGAGAAAAGGGGGTGCTATTTATAGTAGCAATAAATGCCGGACAGGGACACGTGTCAGGCATCCATTGGCCGAGAGGTCACCTCATCCGGTTGGCGCTGGCAACCGCATGTGGCCGCATTTAATGCGACTGTTGGATGGGACGTTGTACAGGGTACGGTGATCTGTACGCGCGTGAAGAGGAGATCTTGTCGAGTGAGGTGCCTTCGGCTATAGAGCAGTAGCCGAGGGCTCCTCAAACCGAGGGCACCCTGGTGCCGAGGGCTCCTGGTGCCGAGGGCTACTGTTCTCGCCGTTTTCTCCCAGTTTCTTAGTTTGCTTGAGAAACCCATTCTGTGAGAGTTTAGAGCCTTCGGCCAGGGGGTCGAAGGCACCCCTGGTGCGCTGTGGGCTGCTTGGTACTCCGGGCGCCATGATTTGGGCCTGTTGGGCCTTCTGGGCCTGTTGGGCCTTTACTGGAGTAGTAGGAGTCTGTGGGCCGGGGGTTCCCGGGCCATATACTCCATCACTTTCCTTTTTCGTCTGTTCCAATTATATTTCCACTTTCCCTTTTTGGTAAAGAATTTGTGGTTCACAACATTTCTTACACATTTCTCTCTCTTCTGCACAACTCTCCACCACACAATACCCACTTTTCTTAAATTGTGTGCCAAAGTGGGTTGGAAGATAAAATAGGAACGGAGGTAGTATTGAATAAGAACCGAATCGTTAACAATTTATAATTCATGTGTAGGAATCAAATCGAATCGGATTTTAAAGGTTCGGTTCCGATGTAAAAAACAATTTACTTCGTATTACTCTTGCTTGCTTAACTCGGTTTCTTGCTTTCTTAACTCGGTTAACAAACGCCAGCGGGCGGATACCGTTTTGGCATGTAAGACGAGTCCCCCTATCTGCCGTCAATCCTTCCTCTCGCCCCATTCTCGCCGGCAATCTCCTCGGCCAGCGCTACCACATCACCGGCAGCATAGTCGGTGCGCTTTCTATTCATTTCCACGTATATACGCGTTTTCATACAACCGGATCTTTGAATTTACACGTCGAGTTGGGATATTATTGAACCAGATCGTGCTAGATTTTCTAGTCCAGGTCTATTTCTGACGTTTTGTTCTCTCTTCTCGCTCCTCGAAGCGTTTTTTAGTTTCCTATCCGGTCCGACTTTATTCTGAATCTACGGAAATGGTTTCCTTCGAGATGAACGACCGTAAAAGTAAGTCCATTGCTTTTCTCGGGGTACCTCTATTGCAAGCTTTAAATGATATGTAGTATAAAATAGATACTTAAGGAGTTAATTTCTGTGATCCCAAAATCTCCTCAGATTTCAGAGGAAAGCTTTGGTTAGAATTACTGTTTTCCCAACTTGTTCTTAGTAAAGCACTGGTTATGATAATTTGAGTTTTTCTTTTGTGGAGATTATTGGGAAATGGTAAGGAAGCCCCTGGTGAGGCTTGATAAGAAGAAATAGTTTGATTTCCTACTTGGTTCTGGATAAATGAATATTTGAATGTCGTATTGATATTTAGGGCTAGACAAATTAAGTGTTTAACAAGGTAAAGTAGAGTGTTCGATAAGCTTAAAAGAGAAGCCATACTTCTAGAGTTTTGGTAAGAAAGAAAAGAAAAAGAAGAAGTCTGCACTCTACTTGATAGGCAAAATGTTAGTATATAATTCGGATTTTGATTATTACGGAGTATATTAAAAAGTTATGGCTTAACTAAACTCAATGGTTCAGCAGTCCAGTTTAGAATCATTGAGCTTTCTTTCTTTTTTATTAATCATATTATGAATGAATTTTAGAAGATTAAATGAATAGAAAGTGAAAAACTACGTGTGCTATCAAAATTCCATGTTTTCTAAGGAACTTGTGGTGGCTCAATGAAACAGAGATTGGTCTAGGGTTGACAGGATTTGGAGTTTTCTTTTCATTCTTAGGAATCATTTTCTTCTTCGACAAGGGGCTAATTGCCATGGGAAATGTGAGTAGCCTTGCTTTTGACATTGTTTGTGTAATTCCTCTTGGTTTTCCTACACTTATTTCCTTCTGCAAGCGATTAACATACATTCGTTTTACACTTTTACTGAACCAGATCCTCTTTGTATCTGGGGTGGCCTTAACAATTGGTCTGAAGCCATCCATGCAGTTCTTCATGAAGCGTAGCAACTATAAGGTTTCTACCGTTTTCTTGTTGTACTTCACCTCGTTCTCAGTATCTCACATTTATAATTTGTGTGCCTTTGTATTTTATGGTATACTATTTTTTAGGCATATATACTTTCACTTGAGTCCGTATACTAGTTGGTCTCATTTTTCAAGCATTGCACAGGGAACAATGTCATTTGGAATTGGCTTTTTCTTGGTTGTCATTGGATGGCCTATTCTGGGAATGATTCTTGAGGCTTATGGTTTTGTTGTGCTTTTCAGGTTAGTGGCATGCTTTTTTATGAAACAGGGTGCTCTCTAAGGAGCCCTGACATATATATTTATAGGGAAATATTCTAATAATTCTATTACCTTCTCCCACTTTTGTGTGCATTTTCGACTTGAGTTGTTTTAGTAGGTTGTTGACTGACTATATATTTTGCAGTGGGTTCTGGCCGACTTTGGCAGTTTTCCTGCAAAAGATACCTATTCTTGGCTGGCTCTTTCAACAGCCTTTTGTCAGATCGGTATGTCACCTTTCATTTGTTGAGACATTTCAGAACCAATAGTGCAGAAGCTAAGACATTGTCTTAATTGCGCCGATGCATTGATTTTTCTTTTCTGTAATCAGCTTGTTGAGCTCATTCTGCATAATGTATGATTTGCTAGTTTTTTAAATCCTGTTATTAATGACGTTGAGTGCTTGCCACATGACAAAATCACTAATCTGCTGTACTCCTCTTATTGCTTGATATTAGAACTACTACCCCCATTCCCATAAAGAATCATGTTAAATACTACGTATAACTTTTTTATTTTGGCAATGTGAAACTATCAAAAGTCATTAATTTATGTTTTTAAATTTTTTCGTTGGTTTGCCTAAATTTATTATAGGGGAAACTAATTTAAATACCCTAAACTTTGAAGGGGTGTGAGGTAAGCACCCCAAACTTACATATGTAATATATATACCCCGAACTTCACATAAAAAGTTATGTTAGCACCATTACTATATTTTTTTTTATTCGAAAATGTAAACATATTGGTGTTAAGCCCATGATTTAAAATACTTAAACATTTATAAATGTGTAGTTAAAGCGTCATAAATTTACATTGTGAAAGAAAAAGAACGTATGTCATGGTACTAATATTACTTTTTATGTATAGTTCGGGGTATAAATATTACATATGAAAGTCTGGGTGCTAACATCACACCTCTTCAAAGTTTGGGGTATTTAAATTATTTCCACCTTTATTATATGTGACTTGTATAGTTGTATGTGAATTTTATTTTTGCAAATTATAGGAAAAATAGGCTTTTTAATTTGCGAGGACTCTTTTTTTAGATGCATGGAGTAAAATATTATACTCTGTACTCCCTAGTCGGTCGGTGAGTAGTAAGAATATGCCAAATATGATGCCTGCTCTGAAGCATATTAAGAGGCTGCTAGCAAAATGATGGTTCTGATTCTGATTCTAAGAATCATAATATGCAAGTATTAGATTGGTCGAGTTAAATAATTCAATTGTGGTGTAAATAAAAGAGAATCAGGTTGAAGCGTTTGGCAGAATTGAATTGATGTGGTTCTGAAACAAAATAAGTAAAAATATAAGCGATGTCATGGGTTTGAAACTCTACGTAAACAGTTTCAGCCCTCTTTACCCCGGGCCCCTTTCCCCTGACCCCCAGATCCCCCAGCCCTCTGTAAAAAAATATAATCACTCTTAGGAATGAGCAATTATGGATAGCTCTTGAAAACATGTTCTGTTCACAAAACAAAACAACTATAATATGTTATATGGCTCTTGAAGATCGTTAACTTCTCTAATGCCCTTTATGCTCTTCATGGCTATGGATGCAGTTTTTTGATCGTTACCGGGGAAAGCGAGTACCAGTATGACTTGGGTGTCTCATATACAACGTGTAAGCATTATGAAATATGGCCATGAAGTGGTGTGCGACTCACCAGCAGTATGATGATTGATGGCATTATAGTTTTTGTTCTTAGATGAGATGGACATGGGTCTCTTTTAGTGCCTTGTGGCAGTTTGCCTTTTCATAGTAGTTGTAATCATCCAGAATTGATTTGTATCAGATTTTGGTTCATAAGTTCTAAATCTGTAAATACGTTAATTTGGTGGTCAATCATCAATCATTGAACTGGAATTCTTGATGAAACATAGAGCTGAGCCTGAGCGTAGATTGGGGTGGAACCCTTGTCATTTTTTACAGAAGTTAAAATAAACTTAACACGCTTGGTCTAATTGGGGTTTCAAATATATGTATCAATAAATTTGAAAAAGGTAAATTCTAAACACAAGTAACACAACCCATTTTTTTACTAAGAGCTTCGCTAGAGGTACCCCATTTAGTATCTCATTTGTATCCCTTCCTACATTTGTGGGTCACAAAAGCCCAACACATTAAATGAATTGCTTCATTTTAATGAAGTGCTTTTGTGAATCACAAATGTAGGGAGAGGTACAAAATGGGGTAAAAATTGGGGTGACAATAGCATTTGTCTTTTACTAAATATAGCCTTAAAATAGAATTCAATCTAGAGAAATATATATTTTTTACGAACTTACCCTTGGTAAATTCATTTTGTTTTCTATCCGTTCCTTGGATGGATCAGGAAGTTATATGAATATATATATATATATATATATATATATATATATATATATATATATATATATATATATATATATATATATATATATATATAGACAAATGTTCAGGTCCGGAATTCCGGACCAGAACCGCCATCCGGTCGACGGCTTTTGCGTTCCTTCCCGGTGACTTTTTTTGATGAAATTTTTATGACATATTCTTCATCAAGTCTAGTTTATCCACAAAACAATTCAGCTAAAAATTCAATCTGAAAGGTCGTCAAATGAATTTTGGAAGTTAACTGCGTTTTATATGTATTTTTTTGCGCAGTTAATTCAAAAAATCATTTGACAACTTTCCTGATTGAGTTTTTAGCTGAATATTTTTGTGCATAAACTAGATTTGGTGAAGAACATGTCATAACAATTTCATCAAAAAAAGCCACCGGGAAGGACCCCAAAAGCCGTCGCCCGGAGACGGTTCTGGTCAGGAAGGCCTGACCGGAACACTACTCTCTCTCTCTCTCTCTATATATATATATATATATATATATATATATATATATATAGAGAGAGAGAGAGAGAGAGAGAGAGAGAGAGGGAGGGAGAGAGAGAAGTTCAGGTCAAGTATTTCGGACTAGAACCGCCGTCCGGACGGCGGCGTTTGGACGCCTTCCCGGTGGACTTTTGTGATGAAATTTTTATGGCATGTTCTTCATCAAGTCTAGTTTATCCACAAAAAAACCAGCTAAAAACTCAATCAGGAAGGTCGTCAAATAATTTTTGGAAGTTAACTGCGTTTTATATGTATTTTCCAACACACTTATCTTTCAAAAATCATTTGACAGCCTTCCCGATTGAGTTTTTAGCTACTTTTTGTGTAGATAAACTATAATTGATGAAGAACATGCCATAAATATTTCATCAAAAAATTCTGCCGGGAAGGCGGCCAAATGACGCCGTCCGGACGACGCTTCCGGTGAGGAATTCCTAATCGGAACACTACTCTCTCTCTCTCTCTATATATATATATATATATATATATATATATATATTTATAGGAATGATCCTGTCCAGCAGCCCATGTCCGAACACCGTCCGAACATCGCCATTTGCGGCACTTCCGCGTGGAATTTTATGATGAATTTTTTTGAGCATGTTTCTCATTAAGTCTAGTATATCCATACCACAATTTCAGCTCAAAATTCGATCGAAGGCAGTCAAATCATTTTCTGAAGTGTACTGCGTTTTTATACGTATATTTTGGTGCAGTCAACTTCAAAAAATGATTTGACTGCCTTCCTGATCGTATTATGAGCTGAAATTTGGTATGAATAAACTAGACTTGATGAGGAACATTCTCAAAAAAAATCATCAAAAAATTACACCGGTAACCGCCCCAAATGGCTGTGTTCGGACGGTGTTCGGACCGGGGGCTGTTGGACCTCAGAATTTCTCTCTCTCTCTCTCTCTCTCTCTCTATATATATATATATATATATATATATATATATATATATATATATATATAGAGAGAGAGAGAGAGAGAGAGAGAGAGAGAGAGAGAGAGAGAGAGAGAGAGAGAGAGAGAGAGAGAGTTGAGATCATTTGAGAATAACATCTTAGGAGAGAACCTAGAATGCATCTCCATCGTCAATTAAGTTTGAGTTAAACCAAATGCCTTAACGGACAAACACTTTGCTTAGAACTGCGCCGTTAGAGGTTTAATGACTTTCCACTCTTCCCACATATTTCGCATCTCTTACTTATCACGTAACTTCTGTTTTGATTTTTTAAGACTTAACTTCTACTCCGATATTTCTTAATTCGTAATAAAATTCATTATTGCAATTTTTAGCTTAAGTGTTAGTTTGAAGGGTCTGTCCATTATGGAATCATCCAGATGCATTAATTTTACATACACACATCTAAAGTAACTTTAACTTTGAGTGTATATTTTCTTTTAAAAAATATACTTGGTAAAATTTTGCACATTTGTATATAAGTGCACAATAATGTTACTAAAAGTGCATATTTACTTTTGAGTGCGTACGTGCACAATGTGAAACAAAAGTTTGCATTGTTATGAATCACAAAGTGCAGGTATATTTTTTGAATAAATTAAACTGTTATACGACTTCGAATTGTGCATTATCTTAAACATAAATATGCAACATCATTAACGAAGATGTGCATTATTTTAGGTCGTTCTCATTTGTCAAGTGAGGAACTATTCACACTGGAGTAACGAGACTAGGCCCAGAACCTAATCAGCCCAAGCCCCGAACTTGGACCCGTGGATCCAAGTCCACAACCGGAAGAGTAACGGTCAAGCAATTAATGCGCTATTAATTATGTATTTAATTCCGTATTAATGTTGTAATTAATTAGTCATTATTATCGGTAGTAGTTACGATTTGTATACGCCTATAAAAGGCGGGTTGTAATTCAGATTAGATGAAGCAATTTTGAAATGCTATTTCCGGCAACTAAATCTCCTAGCTACTTTCCATTCTCATTCTTGCTTTCCTAATTCCTGCTTGAGTGTCGTACGTAGCTTTCCTAAAAGTCTACGAGCGTCCTATTTTGGACCAACATTGGTGCTTTCATTGAGAGCCTCTACTGATCTCTCACATCACTTTAGTAGGAAAAAATTCAAGAAATTCATCCCAATTCAAGGTGCTACAGTTCCACTTCCTCTTGTTCTCTTCGCCAATCACAGCTGGATGCCGCACGCCGACGTCGGTGCTGGTCTTCCTCATCGCCACGCCTATTCATGAGATAGGCCTTCAAATGTGCGTCCACCTAATTCCTATGGAGCAAGAGTCTGCTCTGCGTTAAAGTGAATGGACCAAGATTACACTAAGACCAAATTTGATTCTCCTCAAGGATGATGACGGGCTGCATTTTCAGCAACTCATTCGGGCCCGTTTGGTTCTAAATCTAAGTTTCCAAAAATCCTCTATATTTGATACAAAAAAAAATCATAAATTGAAACATTTGAAAAGGTATTTTAAGTAATATGATTGCTTTTACTCTTGTTAAGTGTGTGTAATTTTAACATTGAACAACAGACTTATGAATCTGATCACTCATGTACACCGGGCGAGCACACACACTCGTACACTGGCCGAGCACACACACTCGCGCCACCGGGTCACGTCAAATGGGTGTGACGATTAATAAGCTCCAATATAAATGTTAATACCGTACACTCTTGAATTCAAACGAGTTCTTGCGTGCTCTTACCTCTTCATAGTGCATCACACTCCAACCTCGGGGGACGAGTCACCCGTTCAAAAGTCTTTACTTGCGGGTTCGAACTACTAACCTCGGGCGGAGAGTTAAACTCTTGTTAGGGGCCTAGGGCCACGCTTTTCCGAGCAATTTTGTCACTTAATTGACATTCACATTTCTCGAAAAGGTTGATATACTTTAGTTCTTTGGGGTTGGATTATCCGTTCGAGTGAGGAGTCCGCCTCACTTACTCGTGGATTCAATCTTTCCTTCGGAGACTGGGTTGAGGCCTAACTTGGGAACATGATGTCACTCTTTTCAAGTTGTGAGACCGACTCACTTACACACTGAGCCGTGGTTCGACACCAGGCCAGATGCTCTATATATTCTACACTAGTTTCTTTTATGTGTAGGTACAACTGCATGAAGTGGAGGACTGATGGTCTTACCGTCTTCAAGAAAGCAAATGACAAACCTGACGAGTCTGAGCCCGACGAGAAAAACAGTTCTATCCGTCCTATTTGCAGATGGTGACCATTGCAATAAAGGATGAGGATCTCACCTCTTGCTTCAACTTGGGGGTGTCAGATGTACTCTTTTTCCCTTCATTAAGATTTTTTCCCATTGTGTTTTTTCCTAATGAAGGTTTTTAATGAGACATCTTCCCAACACGGACAAGGGCGGGGATCTTCTAGTCTCGGAGAAGAGCAATTGACTTGGACTACTCCCTCTTAACCGAGTCTACTACTCGACTAAGGGAGTGGGGGACTCGTGATGGAGTAATGGGACTAGGCCCAGAACCTAATCAACCCAAGCCCCGAACTTAGACCCGTGGATCCAAGTCCACAACCGGAAGAGTAACGGTCAAGCAATTAACACGCTATTAATTATGTATTTAATTCCGTATTAATGTTGTAATTAATTGGTCATTATTATCGGTAGCAGTTACGATTTTTATACGCCTATAAAAGGCGGGTTGTAATTCAGATTAGAGGAAGCAATTTTGAAATGCTATTTCTGACAACTAAATCTCCTAGCTACTTTCCATTCTCGTTCTTGCTTTCCTAATTCCTGCTTGAGTGTCGTACGTAGCTTTCCTAAAAGCCTACGAGTGTCCTATTTTGGACCAACACACACCAAAACCATATCCTAAAAGAGAAATAAAAATGAATCTGATCCTTAACAATTGTGCATGATTTGAAACAAAAATGTATTTGTCATGAATAAAAATAAGCAACTACATTTTCAAACAAATTAAATTGCTATACCACTTTAAATTGTGCATTATGTTTATCATTAATGTGCAACATCATTACTCAAGATGTGCATCGTTGTAGGTCATTCTCATTTATCACGTGAGAAACTGTTCCCACCAAAATCATACAAGAGGAAAGA